TGAAGTCTGCTAGACCAACTGATTACACCTGAGTTGTCACTGAGTTTAAAACAATATCCTAATGTACTTCTCCTATTGTCTATATTTCCAGCCCAGTCCGCATCCGAATAGCTAACAAGATTCAAGGCCTTATCCCTCCTGTATACTAAAGGTAAAATTTTTGTTCCTAGCAGATATCTAAGACAATTTTTTCCGGCTTTTCAATGCTTTTCACCTGGGTTTTCCACAAAAGAACTTAGAAGATTTGCTGCAAAGCAAATTTCGGGTCTACTTGATAAAGCTAGGTAATTTAGACAACCAACAAGTCCTCGATAGTCACATTTTTTCATATTTTCTTGTTCTATGCTACCTTCTAAAGGACAATCTTCTTTTGTCAATTTTTCGTTTTCACTAATAGGGGGCGTTATCGGCTTTGCTTCGGTCATCCTAAATCTTGATATCAATTTTTCAACATATTTCTCCTGACTTATCCTAATTTCGTTTCCTGAGTAATCAATTTTCATTCCTAAGAACCATTTAAGATCACTTATCTCGCTTATCTCAAAATTTTCCGAGATATTGCTTCAAACCAGCTACAGAAATTTTTGTCTGCTCCACAAACCACGATATCATCGACCCACAAGCAAATTAAACCTTCTATCTCTCCCTCAACACTCCTAACAAACAAACACTCATCAAAAACTGAATTTTCAAAACCTAATTCCTCAAGATAGCTTTTTAGAGTCCTATGCCAGTTTCTACTGGACTGCTTCAGTCCATAAAGACTTTTCTTCAGAAGACAAACTAAAGGTTTTCTTTCTTCATCAAACTTCTCGAACCCTTCAGGTTGCTTCATAAGAATTTCTTCATCTAGTTTGGCATTCAAGTATGCAGTTTTAATGTCTAACTGTCTCAACTGATACCTATTTTGAACTGCTACGCTCAGGACTATTCTTCTGGTCGACATCTTGGCTGTAGGCGAATACGTTTCGTGAAAATCTCTTCCCTCAACTTGGCTAAAACCTTTAGCAACAAACCTAGCCTTAAACCTGGAAATTTCACCATTAGGTCCGTACTTCAAAGCAAAATGCCATCTGCTGCCTATAGGCTTCTCTCCTCTATTTCTAACTAGTTCCCAAACTTTGTTTTTCTCTAATGAATCAAACTCTTTTTTCATTGCTTCTTGCCAGTCAGGGTCTGCTAAAGCTTCCTTAGCACTTTTCGGTATATTTTCGAGAACTTCTCCAAAAAATACTACATCACCTACTCTTTCTCCTTCGTCACTTTCTATCTTTTTCTCAAAGTAGAACTTAGATTCGTCAAAACTAACGTTTCTAGACTTTTGCACTTTGAGTTTTCCTTCACTCTCAATTCCTATCAGATAAGCTTTACTATTTTTCCGATGTCCCCAGAAAAATTCCCCTTCTAGAGTTTTTGTCTAGTTTTTTGCGAAACTGTTTTTCCACAAAACTATACGCTACACACCCAAAAGTTTTCACAAAATTAAGGTTGGGTTTTTCTCCATACATTGACTCGTAGGGTGTTTTGCCTATAGCAGAATGAAAGCACATATTTTTGAGATTAGCAGCCATATTAAGAGCATAAGGCCAATAAGTTTTCGATAAATTCGCATCAAAAATCATGCAGCGAGCCATTGGAGTAATTGTTCCCCACAACCTTTCTATCTTTCCGTTCTCTTGAGGGGTATAAGGAGCCGATGTTTCCAGTCTTATTTTTTGTTTCCTACAAACTCGCCTAAAATCTTGACCAATGTACTCTCCTGCACCGTCTGAAACTAAAGTCTGAGGGACTCCTATGCCTGCAATGAACCTTTCCAACTTTTCTGTTGCCTCATCTCTCGTCTTCATGAAATAAATTTTCAGATATCTAGAAAAACTGTCCACAAAACCTATAGCATATCTATGTCCATCCTCTGCTAGCGGGTCGATGGGACCTAAAATATCTTTGTGAACAAAATCTAGTGACCTGGTTGCCCTGGTATAAGAATCTTTCGGGACTGGCTTCTTTTTTGCTTTATTCAACTCACAAGTTTCACAATTCTCAATTTTAAAATCACTAATCTTCATGCCTTCAACATGTTGCTCCAAATGACCTAAATCTTTGTAGTTATTATGACCCATCCTGCAAAGCCACTGTTTCAATGTGCTTACTACATACACTCGTCTTTTCCTACAAAAGTATCCGATAAAAAGAGACCACTTTCCTCTCTTAATTGGTAAACTGATCCATTTCCCTGGCGAACAAACGAGCTCGCACCAAAAACAACTTCTGCTCCTGCTTTCTTCATTTTTGATACACTCGGCAAATTTCTTGAGTTTTCAGGAACGTACAAAGTATTCTTCAGCTCAATCATCTTAAACTCGCCTTTCTCATCTTTCACTCTGAATCTAACTTCACGTTTCCCTAAAATTTTTGATTCAGAGAAATTTGCATTGCTAACCGATCCTTTGAAGTTCTCATCTAAACTAACAAACATGTCTCGATCCTTAATCATATTACTGGTAGCTCCAGAGTCTACAACTAAGTCCTCGCCCGGAGACACTCCACTCAGGAAACTAAAATGAGCCTGTTTCAGCTACTAGGTTCTGCTGTTCTCGTTTAGTCTTACTAATGAACTTTTTCTTTGCTTGGCAATATTTTGCAATATGTCCAAACTCCTTGCACTCATAGCACTGAATTTTTCGAGCTCTACCTTCACTATCTCGTCTGCTGCTTAAGTTTTCTCTGCACTGTTTCGACACATGTCCTCTTTTCTGACACTTGAAACAAACTCTGTTCTCGCTATTAAAAGCATGCTCTTTTTCGATTACTTGTCTCTCGCTATCAAAATTCACTAAATCTCTTTTCAACTCATCTAAACTTTTCTCATCTCTACTAAACTTAGCTATAGTAGAAAAAGTTTTAAATTGTTTTGGAAGTCCTTTCAAAAAAATTGAAATTAACATTTTGTCACTCACTTCTTCGTTCACTTGTTCTAAGTTATACTGAATCTCCTCTGCTCTAGTCAAATAATCTATCACTGTTTCATTGCTATTCTTTTTCAAAGTTGTAAGTTCGGAGATTAGTTTTTGCAGCCTGGGTCTTTCAAAACTCTTAAATCTTTTCCGTAAAACATCCCAAGCTTTGCTACCATTGCCTTTATAAGGTCTTAAAAACAAAACTGATTTCTTATCTAGAGCCTGCACAAGTTCGTACCAGATATGCAACTGTTTTTCTTCAAAAATCTCTTTTCCTTTATCTATCGCAGCTTGTTTTTGATCACTGCTTGCATTCCGTCTTAAGCTTGCCATAAAATTTCTATAATCAACTGTCTCATCTAAAATCTTGTTTAACTTCAAGTGAAAAATTCGTGCCTCGAATTGCTCTGCAAAGTAGGAAAAATCTTCTTCTTTTCCCGAAAAAACTATCCTATCAGTTTTCGACATTTTTTCCTAATCCAAGTTCTTATTTTCGACTTAATTCTCACACAAAAAATTAAGCTCCAATCCAAAACTCAAAAAACTAAGTATTGCCCTAGCTAAAGTTCAATGACCCCGTTTTCTCTTACATCAAAATCATAATCTAAAATCATATTCTATATTATACATCAATATCGCCCCTTATATAATTATGCAAGTATATTTGATTACCTAAATCTGGTTTGGAACCTAACGGAGTGCGTACTGAATAACACATCAGCGACTTAGCAAAGCTAAGTTCCCTCCTCAGATTTCATACTAGGTAATATATATATTAGCAAAATAGAAATTCCTCTTTTTATTCTGGGGTATCAGTTTCTTTTTGTTTTAATTGGAATGTATTTTTTGGATTGATTTTGTGTCGGATTCGAGCAATCGCGTACGAACGAATTTATCCTTCCGCAAAAATTGAGTATAAATCAGCAACTTTTACAAATAAAACATGTAATTTATCAGTTTGTTTCAGTTTTATTTCACTATCAATAGTGTAGTGCTTCTTCCACTGCTGTGCTCACTCGGTGCCCCTTCGTATAGCTTTTGACCGTCTTCTCTTCTTCTCTGTTGTGTTTCCCTGCTTCTATCGTCAGAGTTGTCTATCTCTAGAAGTTGTGTTGCCCTGCTTCTGTCGTCAAAGTTGCCTGTCTCTACTAGTTGTGTTGCCCTTCTTCTATCTTTGCACTTCTCTGTCTGATCAATCGTCTATCTCCAAGTAGTTTTGGCCTGCTTCTCTCGCAGTTGTCTAACCGATCAGTTGTATATTTCAAGTTGTGATTTTCACTGTCACAACTCCACCGCAAATCTCAGCTTTTTTCCTTATTCGTTTGAACAAACAGTCAATCTTGACTCCTGACTTCTCACTCGTGATTGGGCATCTGGGCCCATAACCTATCAAGGTTATTGCAGCGACAAACGGTTGATTAATAAGGAGTGAATTAATGAGATTTGAGTGATAATTCCAGTAGCAAATCAGATCAAATATATATGGTAAATCACCCGCACAAAGTTGCTCGAACCAATGACTAAAGGTCATGTTTCACCAGCTAATTTTAACAAAAATCGAGAAGTGATCTTTCAGTTTGAACTGAATAAGAAAGATCAATTCCAGTTCAGTTAGGAAAAATCACCAATAGGAAAAATCACTAATCGGCCTGTATTATTCATGTTCTATTATTTCCTTTATTAAAAAGGGATCACATTGCAACTACAGGGTTAAAAACAACGTCTATTAAAAGATGAACATACTTGGAGAGCGGAGGTTATTTTTTGTCAAATGCTCTCCTGGAGAAAATTGCGGATTTTTCGGTCGTTTAAAATTAGCCTATCCAGAAGATTTTTCCCAGACTGGTTTTGGCAGCAAAGAACTTCAATTTCTATTCCGCTAAAAATGAAATGACACTATTTTTTTTACACTTGAAAAATATGATGCCTAACGGCTAAATTTGTGATATCACAATGTATGAAATAAAAAAAAAGTCTAACAACTTATATTTTGAAAATTGAGAAAGATAAGTGGAAAAGATTACTAACATTAAGTCCACTAACCTAGTAACCGTCGAATGATCCTCCACTCATTTCGATTCATCATCCTTGTCTTCAAGTCGGGGAAAGACTCTTTCAGGCAAATCTGGAAATCATTTTCCTCGTTCAGCAAAACCCTGTCTATGGAAGAGTAGAACCACTCAAACACAGCCCACTTGTATGCTTTCGGCAACTTCAGCATGTTTCTTAACTTCTTGCCAATTTCAAGTGGACCTCCTTCAATAGCGCGGAAATAAGCAAAACATAAATTTGTTTTCGAAACGTGCGTGAAAATCCGATTATTTGTCATCCAATTGAGCTAGCAACCTAACGAAAATTCAAATCTGTATATCAGCTAAAATTAACTGAATTAGTTTAACCTCACCTTCGACTGCTAATTTCTTGTATGCAGAACTATTTGCGAAGCTTCCGCCAGTTTGCTCTTCGTCATCAGATTGGGCTTGATTTTCTTCATCATATTCTGAGTCTGTGATAGGACGGAAGCTTCTGGACTTCATTGGCAGAACTACTTTTTTCGCCTCTGGAGAACCATCGAAAGAGAGAGGCGTCGAGGACCCTCTTCTTTTGGGACCCATTTTTAGAACTAGAATTACCTCAAAACGATGAGTTACTACACAACAAATTTATTAGTTCAGAGTAGTTTTTTTTGATGAAAAAATTAGGGCACAAAAAAGTTTCCACGCTAACCTAAACTAAAAGTTTATTCTGTATTCCAAGTAAATTATTTAAGCTACTGGCCAGATGATTATCCTCATATATGTACATAATATTAATTAAAAACATTTACAAGCAGTCAGTAATGAAATTATTAGCTTGAAATTTGGTTAAAAACGTTGTGCAATTTCTTTCAGACCAATAAAAGTTTCTACTAGATAAGAAGATCACTGCCATTTGCGTCTTGACATGTTAAGTTGAGACTGAATTAGAACCGGTGTATGTTCCCTCCGGTGGTTTGAATACCTGCCAAATTCGTGATGAGCAATTACATTTAATGATATTTTACTCAAATAAAAAAGAATCAGTTTTAAGAAACAAGAACGCCCAGCGGATGGCATCTAACGAGAAATATCAAACAGTTCACGTTGTCCTCTGTGTAAACAAATTGAAAGACAACTGAAAAGTGTAAAATTAAGTATTTGTAGCGCTGAGGGTATCTTGAGTGCTCAAGTATGCTGACATCAAGCAGAACTAATTTGGCATGGTAACCAGACGGCAAACGAGTCGAAAGTACTTTGAAAAATATTTACAACAAAAAACAACGAAAATATTTAACCTGTATAAACCTTTTGAGCCAAAACCTTTGCAAAAAAAGTCCGAAAAAAATATTACTGAAAAAAAATCTAGGGCCTACTGCGTACAAATTACTTAACACCAATGTGCACCTCAAGGGACCATAAATTGTATCCAATAAATCATGTTGAAACACTTAACATTCTCTCAACGTCGAAACTTTGGGAGATAAGTGTTTACCCGGAAAATCGGTTATCATTGCGAAACGATTCAGTGACATCATGAAACTTGGCCAGACAATCACGGTCAAACCTAATGAGCTCAAAAATCTGTTTGCACTGATCTCATTGCTGAGTGATCAACATCGTATGATCATGTTCCATAAAAATGCACACTTAAAATCTCTTTTGCTCTTATTTTTGCTCCGACTACACCAAAGGCGGGGAAAACTTTGAATTAGTTGTCTTTCGCCCTGCAATATAAGGTACCACAAAAAACGCCAGATGCCATCGGGTGATATATCATGTGAAAAAAATTTCAGTCGCGGAATAGTTCAGAGACAAGCAAAAATAGCTATAATTTTATAATTTCTAAGAGAAGAGAGGATAGGATGAACTTGAACAGTGGTTGTGTTATTCCGTTAAAAAATGGTTTCTTCAATAAGTAAAGCTGTTCAATTATTTTATGGAAAGCTTAGGGAAAATCCTTCGGTAAATTCAATTAACACATAGGCGAAGCTTCGATTCGCAAACACTAGCAACAACACAAAGAGCAGCTCTATAAAAGGCAAGAATAAGTAGAAATAAGCCTCGAATTAGTAAAAAATCGGCTTATGTCTCGGATTCGATCTGCGACCTAATTCGACATGATCCGAGATCTGCGACCTAACTCGAGATTATGAGTCTAACGCACTAACCCATCAGCCACGGACGGTTAATAACTCACAAACACCAGCCAAAATCACAAATAAAGCAGAGAACAGATGCTATGAAACTTCCAATGCTACTCATCGTGATTAAGTAAAATTGCCACCTACCACACTTTTAATAAACACTTATATTTGCGAGTAAGTCTAGAAAAAAATGTTCGTACTAATACACTACGCTGCTTGCTAGTGTAAAAACACAGACACCTTGAAAAATGAAAAATATATATTTCCAAATATTTCGAAAAATGATATAAAACTGTTTTTTTTTAGTTTAGTGACAGTGAAATGAACTTTCTGTGTTACTAGCAACAGTAGTCCACCATTCCTCTTTCATACAAAAAAAAGCTTCCCAGCGGAGCGAACCCCACCTTTTTGCTAGTTTGTTCATAATATTTTATCTTCCAAAATATATAATTCAGGATGACATTCGAATAAAAATAAATGCAATTCTCCCTTTAAAATTTGTTAAGCTATTCATTGCTCATCACTTGTGGCATTAATCGCTGATTTAATGAAGTGAACTTGTATTTCGGCAGTCCAGCATTCATCTTACAATTCCTCAATCGCACGCCACGCCTCAAACTATCCAGCAAAGCACCTCTAATCTGATCTCCAGGCTGAAAACGAGAAGATTTCTGAACACTGTCAATATACTCGCAAATAAGCTCCGCCATTTCGTAAGTAGCTCCCATTGCAGTTCTATCTTTTGCGCTCTTGCAACTGCACAGACGGATACAGCGACTTAACCTGGATGCAACTATAAATTCATTGATATGGTCAATAGCCGGCGGAAACTTCGCACTACGGTCAAGATATTCGGAGCTCAAAATACATTGACTCAATTTTTCTTTAGAAGACTTGAGACGCTCCACTTCGTTGTTTTGACCAAATGTATGGGCTAGTTTTTCTATGGTTTCGGTAAGATGACCAGTAATGAAAGAGTCGTGCAAGTCTCGGAATATTTCAACCTGCAGTGAAGATAATTTTCCAACAGCTCCTCTGAAACAAAAAAATATTATCTCAATCCGTAAACTATTACATGATCAAGAAGCACATATATCCAAGCCTATAAAGTCATACAAAAATGACGTTTTATTATCGTTGTATCATCGCCTTCTCGAAACAATGTTACTATGCCTCAGATAAAATAATATCATTGAACAGCTTTGGCTCACCAGAAAAATGGATCGTTTTTAGATTAACATCCTACCCCCAGATAAACCAAGTTAATATGTTTCACCTCAGCATTTAATTCAGATTAAATTTGCTAAGCGTTGCATGTAAAATGCTCGATTCCGATTGGCTGGAAATTCCACCTCAGATCCAAGTTAACATCCTCCCCGTGCTTTAGTGGGGGATATTAACTTGATCCGTTTTTTTTAAATATATATCAAGGAAATAATATCTTACAGAGCATTGGTCGCTCCTGTCGTATCAGTGCCAGATGGTGCCGGAATCAACCTCTGATTCAAGAAGTGCACACAGCAATCGAACTGCAAATGCTTCCCATGCTTAAGGTACTTGGACACGAACACCGACCTTTTGTCCGGTAATCCTTCATTATTGGGCAGATATATTGTAACTAGGATGTCACCTAATAGGTCGATATCTATGAGTGGGAAGAATCCGTTATCGCCTTCTACGAATATGAACTTGACATAGCGGTTGACATAGTTCACTGCAGCTATGAAGTCTCGCATCATTTCTCTCTCATCTCCGCTGAAACCAATTTATTCTTTACCGATTAAAAAACCAAAACAAAATGCGAATAACTCACAGTTTCTGTTCCGACCATATAAAACGGGGAAGAACTTTGTATTCGGGCGTTTTTATTTTTTTTTTCAACTTTTTTTGTTTTCCACTAAAAACCAATATATCACTTTAAAGCCTTATAGTCGTGATTCGAACTTTCAAAAATTTCCAAAAAGTTTCCCTACTGTCGAGAAAAACTGGTTTGAAATTTTTGATTTTTCGTCTATTTTCGAGCGAGTAAAGCGATCGAGTAACATTTGTTGTTTATAAAAAATTGAAATTTAGGCTAAAAAAACTTGATTTTACTAAAAGGAAAACTAGTTTTGGAAGCTTAATTTAGCTCTCTCTGAAATGTGGTCGGAACACACTGTGCGTGCTACTACACTCTGTAAAATCGAAAAAATCTGTGTCGAGAAAAACTGGTCTGAATAATTTCTACTTTCATACTGAATTAGATAAAAATTGATAACATGCTAATGAAATTGAATTAATAACCCAATTTCATTTCTACACAGAAGCGAAGCTGCGCTTCGCAAACACTAGCCAGAACACGACAAAAAGGCAGCTTTATAAAGTGAAATAAGAAAATATAGAAATAAGCCTCGAATTAGTAAAACTTTGCTACGTAGGGACTTCGAATCTGCGACCTCGAGAATCTCATTTTGCATGAAATAAATTGGAAAGCAAATTGGAATTATGTATAAATTATTGCGATATAGGAAATGAAAAAAAATACTTGAACATCAAATACAATTTGACAAATATATAAATCCAATTTTACCAATGATTAATATGTATAGCATTAGATATATTGAGTTAGCTGTTTTGACATATTGCGCGGTGAATAGAGTTAAAAATTGCGAGATATATTGAGTTAAAAAATCTCTGAAATCGAGTTTTTTTTATTGTTCTGTTGTTTGAAACCAATAGCTTTTTTTTTTGGTTCATTTGATGAATTTAAAATGTATCAAATGTGTTAATTTATTATCATTCGCATCTCAAAGCACATGCTATCAAAAAGCTGTAAAAGTGCCCCAAAAGTGGCACCAATATTTGCGACTTAGGTTAGAAAAAAATGAAGTCGTAGTATAACACTAACACTCACTATAATTCGCTACAGTAAACAGACTTTTAACGTTATTTTTAAAATATAGCTTTTTAATTATTCCTTTATTTCATTAATGTTTTCTAGAAAAAAAAACGAAAAATTGGGCAATAAAAATTGCTTTCGTTTCCAAATTTGTTTTTTGATTTCTTTGCGCTACGATTTCTTTGGAACCCTCTGTGCTACAAAAATGACGTTTTATTATCGTTGTATCATCGCCTTCTCGAAACAATGTTACTATGCCTCAGATAAAATAATATCATTGAACAGCTTTGGCTCACCAGAAAAATGGATCGTTTTTAGATTAACATCCTACCCCCAGATAAACCAAGTTAATATCTTTCACCTCAGCATTTAATTCAGATTAAATTTGCTAAGCGTTGCATGTAAAATGCTCGATTCCGATTGGCTGGAAATTCCACCTCAGATCCAAGTTAACATCCTCCCCGTGCTTTAGTGGGGGATATTAACTTGATCCGTTTTTTTAAAATATATATCAAGGAAATAATATCTTACAGAGCATTGGTCGCTCCTGTCGTATCAGTGCCAGATGGTGCCGGAATCAACCTCTGATTCAAGAAGTGCACACAGCAATCGAACTGCAAATGCTTCCCATGCTTAAGGTACTTGGACACGAACACCGACCTTTTGTCCGGTAATCCTTCATTATTGGGCAGATATATTGTAACTAGGATGTCACCTAATAGGTCGATATCTATGAGTGGGAAGAATCCGTTATCGCCTTCTACGAATATGAACTTGACATAGCGGTTGACATAGTTCACTGCAGCTATGAAGTCTCGCATCATTTCTCTCTCATCTCCGCTGAAACCAATCTATTCTTTACCAATTAAAAAACCAAAACAAAATGCGAATAACTCACAGTTTCTGTTCCGACCATATAAAACGGGGAAGAACTTTGTATTCGGGCGTTTTTTTTTTTCAACTTTTTTTGTTTTCCACTAAAAATCAGGTACCACCAATATATCACTTTAAAGCCTTATAGTCGTGATTCGAACTTTCAAAAATTTCCAAAAAGTTTCCCTACTGTCGAGAAAAACTGGTTTGAAATTTTTGATTTTTCGTCTATTTTCGAGCGAGTAAAGCGATCGAGTAACATTTGTTATTTAAAAAAAATTGAAATTTAGGCTAAAAAAACTTGATTTTACTAAAAGGAAAACTAGTTTTGGAAGCTTAATTTAGCTCTCTCTGAAATGTGGTTGGAACACACTGTGCGTGCTACTACACTCTGTAAAATCGAAAAAATCTGTGTCGAGAAAAACTGGTCTGAATAATTTCTACTTTCATACTGAATTAGATAAAAATTGATAACATGCTAATGAAATTGAATTAATAACCCAATTTCATTTCTACACAGAAGCGAAGCTGCGCTTCGCAAACACTAGCCAGAACACGACAAAAAGGCAGCTTTATAAAGTGAAATAAGAAAATATAGAAATAAGCCTCGAATTAGTAAAACTTTGCTACGTAGGGACTTCGAATCTGCGACCTCGAGAACCTCATTTTGCATGAAATAAATTGGAAAGCAAATTGAATTATGTATAAATTATTGCGATATAGGAAATGAAAAAAATACTTGAACATCAAATACAATTTGACAAATATATAAATCCAATTTTACCAATGATTAATATGTATAGCATTAGATATATTGAGTTAGCTGTTTTGACATATTGCGAGATGAATAGAGTGAAAAATTGCGAGATATATTGAGTTAAAAAATCTCTGAAATCGAGTTTTTTTGATTGTTCTGTTGTTTGAAACCAATAGCTTTTTTTTTTGGTTCATTTGATGAATTTAAAATGTATCAAATGTGTTAATTTATTATCATTCGCATCTCAAAGCACATGCTATCAAAAAGCTGCAAAAGTGCCCCAAAAGTGGCACCAATATTTGCGACTTAGGTTAGAAAAAAATGAAGTCGTAGTATAACACTAACACTCACTATAATTCGCTACAGTAAACAGACTTTTAACGTTATTTTTAAAATATAGCTTTTTAATTATTCCTTTATTTCATTAATGTTTTCTAGAAAAAAAACGAAAAATTGGGCAATAAAAATTGCTTTCGTTTCCAAATTTGTTTTTTGATTTCTTTGCGCTACGATTTCTTTGGAACCCTCTGTGCTACTTGTCCAGCAACCGGCAGGCAATCCTTGTTTCTTTTATACAGCCAACCTATTCATCAAATACAAATAATAGAATTAAATATATTTTTAAAAGTATTATTCAACAAGACTACTCGTATCAGGGCCAAGCCCTGAATGTTCCGACAGCCTTTTAAAGTTTATGGAGCAGTAATAACATTAAAAAATTGAATGTAATAAAACAAAATGAAAACTTTTTTTCTCTAAAATTTGAATTTTTTTATGAAAATCATCCCCCCACACGTTTTGTGCCGAACATTTTCCGAATCAATTGAAACTGAAGCATTTGTTTTCATTAGCTTAACTATGTTTCAAGCTTTCCATCAAAAGCCCCAAACTTTCTCCGCCGTTTTTTAACTCGATCTTCAAATCTGATGTTTATTAATTCACTTTTAGCTCAAAATTTTTCTTCGGCAGCTTGTCTCTGCCTGAAGCATACCTGAAGCATACAGTCGAAGCATACCCATTTTTAGTCCAGAAATTCAAACAAGACTGCTCGTATCAGGGCGAAGCCCTGAAAGTTCCGACTGCCTTTTAAGGTTTATGGGGCAGTAATAACATTAAAAAGTTAAATGTGAAAAAACAAAATGAAATTTTTTTTTTGAAATTTGAATTTTTTAAATGAAAATCATCCCCCCACACGCCATATAAAGTACAAAATGATAAATTGCGCTCCTTGTAACAAATCAATTATGGCAAGTAAGCTTCTTTCAACCAAATTGGAACGATTTCTAAGACGCATTAAATCTCCGCTTACGCGTTAATAGCGCGAAATATATCGCGCGTTAACTGTCCCAAATTGGCCAAAATGGCAATCTTTAAACCCCCATAACTTTACGAAAAACGATCACAGGTGAAATATCTTTTCAAATTTGAGCACATGACAACAATACCTTTCGAATGATATTAAAAAATTCCGTCAAAAATGGCTAGTTTAGAAGTAGAAACTTGTCTGAAGAAAAAAAAACCCACCCCGAGCACAAATATTCCGTTACTTTCGTATCGAAAGTCGGAACAATAACTCCATCAAATCCTCAGAACAACCAAAACTCGAACAGCCAAATCATTGCAACCATTTTTAAGGCAGGCATGGCGGCTCTAAAACAGTATTCCGTTAGCATCCAACTTTCGTCGCCATTTAATTGTACGAAAACTCATCAGACTAGACCATTTTGTTTGTACGTGACTTCGATGATAATTTGTGAATATACTCAATATTGATAAAAAAGCCGAATCAATTTGCTTTAATTATTCAATTTAGTTGAGCAAATTAAATAAATTCACGCAAAGCAAATATATGCGTATAAAAAGGGCTATTTAAAGCAGGGGCGGATTTAGGGGGGTCCGCCCCCCTCCCTTCCTCAGGGATTCGACCCCCTGCCGACCCAAAGGGTCCCCCTTGTACTATTTTCAGATATCCATTTTTGGTTACGGACCCTAAAATTTTTCTAAAGGCGCCTTTGGCGCCAATATACACTAATGTACCGCCTTTTTCGGCCTGTTTTTTCAAAATTTTGCCTGCGTCGCAGAAATTTCAAACAAAACAGGGTCTTTGTAGTGCTTTGAGAGAGCTCAGAGAATCAATTTGGCCGACCTAAAAAAAAGTTTTTTTTTTTGAAAATTCGCCCCCCACTCGAGAAAACACTAGATCCTCCCCTGATTTAAAGTATGGATGGAGTAATTACTCCAGAAAACTTGTCAGTTTATGCTTTAGGCTATCTATTATTAACTCAGCTGAAAATGAATGAATAGCACGCACTTCACGAGAAGTATGATCAACCGATTCAATTGATTCGGCGCGTTTAAGGCTAACTGATTGAAACAATTCGGCAAACAAAATATTACATCTACTAAAAACTATCATTTCTTCGAATAAACAAACCTGGGGACAAGTTTCCAATGCAATCACAAGAAATTCTTTCTTTCGCATGCTGTCTCATTTTTTCTACTGATTGTATGCACCTACTTTTTTCAAACTATTTTTATTAGGCTTACACTTTCTGTAGCATGGGCTTAATTCTATCAAGGTATTTCTCGTACATAGAATAAACCATCCGGCGCTTGTTTTCAGGAGCGTAATTAAACATAATTTTAAAAAATGTTTAATAAAACTTCAAGGAGCAATGTTTAATCTGTATTCTGTCTTATGAATTATGTTTCCTCGACGAACCAAAAAAAAAACCGATATGGTACTTTGTTATTGATAGCAAATTGACAGATAAAAATGGATAAATCACCAGGATTTATTGTACCCGTAATTGAACAACACACCTGATAATCGCAAGGGTGAAAAACAGGCATTTGATGCATGTCAGGCTAAATAAAAAACATTGATTTCAACTTCAGCTATTCCAACTTCAGCTATGTTTTCCCTTTTTCTTCCCCTTTACTTTTATCATATTGATATAGTGCGTATGAAATTATAACAATGTTTTTCTTGCAACTAAATCAAAAAGAAAAGCTACTGACTTGAGTTGACCAAACGAACGTATTGGATACTAAGTTGAACAACTGTATGACAGCATTCGGTTTTATAGTTTTTATGGCAAATGAGTGAAACTCTCAGTCTTTATTATACACAGAGGCGAAGCTTCGCTTCACAAACACTAGCGAGAACACGGCAAAAAGCAGCCCTATAAAATGCAATAAGAAAAAGTAGAAACAAGCCTCAAATTACTCCACAGCTCCACACTTTCTCCACAGCTCTGCCAAGATTTTTTTTTTTCACGTCCCAATATACAACGGCGCAAGGGCATTCAGCTAATCAACTTTAAGACTAGGTTCACCTAGTGCAAGAACAGCCAGCAAGGAAATGGGTCTTTGAACTTATGTTGAATCGGATGTTTCAGACCCAATGAAAGCAGATCAATCACGTAATCCGGCGCGTCGATGTCACCCACCACACGCACTGTGTTGCCAATCGAACGCAATGGCTTCTCCTGACTCGCGGAGAGAAGTTTCAACTTCTTCGAGTGACGATCTCTCACTTCCTTATTGGTTTAACCCCGCAAATGAAACAACACAACTGAAGGCAGCAAATCAAAAGACACGCCACTACTAAACGATCTTCTGGCACCTGTCAACCGTCCCTCGGAGAGGAGGAGCAACCTAGTCACTTTGGCTGGTTCCTTCCTGAGCAACCTCCTGTAAAAATCGTTGCTCAAAACACCCATTGTCTGTTATCTGAACCTCCAGTAACTGGGTATTAGGTCGTTTGCCAAACCGCCTACCAGAAACACCTTTCTGTAAACAGCATTGCGATATTTCACAAAGAATTTCCGGTAATTGGTCCACGTGTTCAAGCGATCGTTTCGTGTTAATATTTTCTTTAAAAGATCCCACGGTAACAAAATTGATAACAACCAGTTGGTAACAATATGATTTCAATTAAACGTTTTCATCCGAAGACATCAGAAATCAAGAAAAATTTCGATGAAAACGGCACGCACGACACGACGCGCACATTAAGCGACACGACACGCTCATTAAGCGGACTAATATCAATCTTTCTTTTTGTTCCGACTACTATCGAAGAGTAGGAAGGAACTATGGCGTAGGGTCAACTTCTCTATTTTTTTTCCAGCTAATTTTGTCTGCCTCTAAAAAAAACAGAAATGGGAACCAAGAATTATACGAAATTTGAGAAGCCGAGTTTAATTATACTTGAAATTCTTACGTTATGTTAACTATAGTTACCGCTCTTTCTGGAGTTTTTACCAAGTTCATTCGCCCTTTGTTAAAAAATAAAAGGAAATTTGGAGAACAGAAATAGCCAACAAAGTAATTTATTTTTCGAATTTTTCGAAAATTTATGATTTTGATATACTTTTAATCTCAAATTGAACTGAAATTTCTGCGCTATTAGTATAGCATCCGGCTATCTCTGTTTTGGATTGTCGTGATAGTGGTAAGACGAACCCATCATTTGTTCATATTCCGTGTCAATTTTTCGTACTGACTTCCAGAACGAAAGTTCTTCTCTCAGCTTATTCAATAATTGTAGATTTCAGGGATTGCTTCTCTAAGTCCGTTCACACACTAACTTAAAGGCACCGAAAATTGGTCCCCTTGGTAATGAGTTCAGTGGGGCGATCCAGATTCACTACTACCCAAAATCCCTAAAGGGTTAATTGGTTGCAACTACTCCCTACTGTATTCTGTTAGGTGCCCCCTTAGTGTACTGCTCTTGAGTCTGTCGCGTCCGTTCTTATGATCGCAAGAATTTCAAGTTTTAATTAAATTCAGATGCATATTGGTCCAGATACAGAAGGCCCTAAATGGGCCCAGAAGGCCCTAAAGGTTCCGCGATCTATAAAATGCAATTCACATCCCAAGTAACTTAACTAACAATCCTCTCTTTCTTCAGAGAATCCTAATTAACGAATTACACACAGTAATTCCACACAATTACTCAGTTCGACCTGCTAAAACTGATAGTGCCGCTACGGATCACTATTCCTTTAGAGTACTTTAACTGATCCCTTAACTTCGCAGTTCCTTGTTCTCTAACTCTGAGAACTAGCTATACTCTAATAACTTCGCTATAATTGTTCTCCAACTAACAACGAGAACTTAACAATTCTCTTAGTAGCTAAAACAGTTCTGCCTAAGGGAAGGCTGCTTGTTAATCTCTATGTTTGGTCGTCCCTACAAGTCCTGACATTTACTTTACTAACCCTTTTGCAAAGCCTTTACCGGTTTCTTTCTCTGACGACACTAGCCTTGTTCCACGTTCATTATAGCTATCTCAACTAAGTTGTGGAAATATCACAACCATTTTCACATCCAAACCGAGTTATGTTTAATTAACAAGTATACCAAGGTTTTCATTTAATTAACCCATTAACGATCCGACTTTCCTGGGGTACAGGAAGACCCTTTCTATGAGTCACTACTTCATTCCAAGCATCTGAAATTCCATTCTATACTGTATTCAAATCCCGACCTTCTAGCTATCAGGGGAACGTTATTCGCTTATTATTGGTCAAATTGTGCTAAAAAGCCGCCTCCGGGGAGCTGGGTACTTCTCAAGCTATGTTCCTGTTACTACACCTACTTTTCGCGCTATGCTCCAATTACCGCCAATTTTCTCTGGGACTACTCTTCTTTATTCTGATTGAATTTAAATAGCTCATTCGCCAAGTTGAATTGAACCCAAGGTTTGCCAAATCAAACTAGTTAGTTCTTCTACTTCGATGCTATAATGTAGAAGCTTACACCTCTTTGAGCTTCTGCTTCACTTTCCAATAGTAAAGTTTACTCCCAATTATAAGTAAGGTCACCGATTCTCGTTCCCAAGGGTTGGGGAATACGCTACTTTCCGGTGTTAATCACAGAGTCTTCTATGCAATTTTAATCCTGGTTGCCCAAAGGTCATTTAAAGGTCACTTCGGGTTCAATTTTCCATATTAAAGTTTAGAATCCCATAGGGGTACTACCTACTAAGTTTCATCCATATCCTGTTAATAATTCCCAAGTTATCCAATTTCTAATGTCTATTCTCATTTTTCCCGGGAAAAGGCTCTTAACACCGGAACAAGCCGTCGGAGGCGTTTTACTCACTGGGGGTCTTTTTTTTGGAGTTGGTGTCTAGTGTCTATTGCGGACATAAAATCGATATGTCGCCGCTCAATATTTTGCGTAAATTGCCCACTTCCAGTCTAAGGAGTGTTTTTCCCAGGCGCTAATAACTTCCGGTCCAACCATTGGATTTGGCTCAAATGATAATATGTTGTACCTCGTTTCTACCTATGATATTACAAAATTTTAGCTCCCTGCGTTCAGTTGTGGCCGAGAAACGACTTCCGGAAGTCGGGATGGGGATTTTTGGCATATGGCATAACACCTAAAGTAGGGGTTTAGTGGGTCTGGGATTCTAAACTTGAGCTTACCTCAACTAGGTCTATAACATACTATATTTTGGTTCCATTCACACTGCTAGTTACAGAGTTCTAATGGGGCTATTTGCACTTCCGGGAACCGTTATCACTTGGAGCAGGGGGTTCCGAGGGGTGCAGATATTTGCATGCCCGGGTCGAATCATCTCTAGATCCGTCCTCCGAGTTTCATAAAGTCAGCTTCCTTAGTTTCTATTTGGAAGGGGGATCCGCCGATCTTACTTCACTTGGGTTTTCTGCCATAGGAGGGACTATATCTTCGATAGGAGGGACTCAAACTTATTTTGGACTTGACTGTTGGTTTACTTAACTGCTTATCGTATTGATTCGTCAATATCGAGCTACGTACTACTCATTCACTTTCACTATACTGCATGAATTTCTCAAGGTAAAATCCCAAAATAAATCTGAGTTTGGCGAAAAAATTGTTAGGATCACCGATCCTACAATAAGACTATCGCCAAAGTTTGACTTATATATATTTTTAAAGCTTCCAACATAGCGATATTTTTATTAAGTCAAATAATTTTGAGTATCAGTCTGACCTGTCGTTGATGAGACTGAGCCAGGAGAAGTGAACCTTTCTGGTGTTGACCAGTATCTTCCAAAAGAGCTCATCGCTCTTATGTGTCTCCAGGGCCCTCATAAGAGAAGTACACAGAGGAGTCACAATAAGACTGAGCACCGCCAGGTCGCGTCTTATGAACACGTCAGTGAAAGCTACAATACGATGAAACGTCTTACACGGTACCCCATTATTCAATTTCAGAAAAACAGAATATGGTTGCATTTAAGACATCATCACTAATTGAAATCTAGCATCCCAAACCTTAGTTGAAAGACCATGTTTCTACAAATAAACAATTCATATCAATAATCTGGGTTTTTACTTTTTGAGCGTGACACAGTTAAAAAATATATATATGTCACGAGGAAAAAAATAACAAATCTGCAAAAATCTTGCTCACACAGTCCAAAGCCTGCATACATATCCCTCACATTCCCATGCTCTGCATCCTGCTTCAACAAATATTTCGTAACTTCCAAATGTAACTTGGCAAGCTCCTCGAATCTTATCAGACTCCTCCCGGTCCCACTGGAATCGAGAGCGTGGGGAGTAGGACCTCCAACTGTCAGAACATCCCAGTGTCTGACCTCACTGGCTTTGAGATCAGTCGGCTGGTCTAGTTTTCGATTATCGTTAGTGATTTCTTGAGAAGTAACGAAATAGTCAATGCATTGGTTTTGTTCTGCGATGGAATCGAGTGTTTCTAGGTCTGGCATTTCAACTTGAAATAATTTGACGGAGTATATTTGCATGTTGAGAGACAGAAATGAGCTCCACTTGCTAAAAAGTAAAAAGATTATGACAGGAAACATGTATTTATTTATTCACTCACACACGGAGTCTCACCAAGTTACTTTAATAACTTTTATCCTACTTGGGTCTTCATATCTCGTTTTATGACATTTTCTATGATTTTATGACATTTTCTAAGAAATCTGAGTTTGGCGAAAAAATTGTTAGGATCACCGATCCTACAATAAGACTATCGCCAAAGTTAGACTTATATAGTGGATTCCAATGAAACCACGGCATTCAATTCAATGATGTATAGATGCCGGAGAAGCAGATATTTTAAAATGGAGGAAATGGTCCTAAATTTGTAAGTGAACAGAAGAATCACACCCACTCGTTCTTCCAGTCTGACTTTTTGCTGCATGTGGATTTGTCTATTCCTGCACTCAATTGCCCACAGACTTCCCTCAGGTATTCTGCCACGTGAACTAAGGCCCGACGAAGAACTTCCACTATGACAAACAAGAATTGTTCGACTTACAGACATTTTAAGGAGAAGCACAATCACCGTTTATACTAAGCTCCTAAAAACTCCTATTTAACTAAAACAAAAATTAGAAAAAAATAGTCCAATGAAATACTCCAATGTTTTCAAAAATAGGCACGCGAAATGTGAAAGCTTAAAAATATCTACCAGTTCGCTATAATATCACTCACTTTGATTAGTTTGATCGCTTTTAGGAAGAGATGACATGAGCTTATTGGCGAAGTCGAAGTGTCTGATATATGCGGAGCACAGTTTGGAGGGAATGTAGAATAACAGAGTTGATCCTGACATCTGCTCCTCAACAAGATACTTGCCCCTTGGTCCAACTGTGAAGTAATGCACGTCTGTCAGCGGATTCATCTTCTATTCAAAAGAAAACCGTGTTCTAAAAATTTAAGAACGGACTCTTGTCTTGGAGCAATGGAAAATTGATCTAAATAAAGAAAAAAGCCAACTGACAGTTAGAAAGTAATGAGTAAGAAGAGTAATGAACGCAAGGAAACAGAAAAAAAAAGTGACTTGTTTTGAATTTCTGTCTTTCTCCACATTTTGGAATTTGCAAGAAAAATAATAGATGACCTTAAAGCCCTTTGAATTTCAAGAACAATTAATGATTGGTGCTTTTTTGATAAAATTCACCCAATTTGAGAAAAGTGGATCAATAGGTTAAATTTCCATTTCGCTGAGAAATCTGATAAATAAACTCCATTTTCGAATTTAGAAGTCAATCACGTTTTTCGGAAAATCAAAATTGAGCGTGAACAAATTTTAAGACTGCCTTAAAAAAATCATCAAGACCTATGTAAGAGTACTCACTACGTTCATTGCTCCTAATGAAGGCCAAACTTTAAAGTATTTTTTTAATTTGATCTAACTTCATATATCTGTTTGTTTTTATTGAGATTTCAGAACATAAGTCCACGGATTTTCCCCAGTTCACGTTGATCTATGTTTTTTCTGATTGAAAAACTTCAGTCATTGAAAAGAACAATAACCTGAATAGCGGTATCTGAAACATCTAGATCTCCAGTAAATCGCAAGTTGAACCATAACGGCTTCCCGTCAATGCTATACAGAGGTAAATTTGGGTTGGTTAAGGGGTAGCACCGGTTCAAGCTTAGTTTCTTGCTCTCTAACTGAGAGTCTAGGTCCAATATGAATTTGGTCAATTGTGTGACAGAAGGAAGACTAAAGGTCGGTAGTACAGAGGTGAGTGCGGCGTTGTCCGGTGACGTCAGAAGGGAACATCTGGCTACTCTGTCAGTTAAAAACCACCCTCATGTTTCATGAGTATATACCTTTTTTTATAAGCAATCAAAAAGTGGTATCACGACAGTTAGCTTCATTTTTTATTCGATGCTTTGCACACTTAATTTTTTCATCTTTTAATAGTTTACTGACAATTTTTTCAAGCAATTGAAGTCCATGCTTAAAATCTCTGGTTTTGCTATCTTGTTTTGCTTGCTCTGTAAAACACTAGCAATTGAAAGCAGGTTATTATTATCCTAGAAGTGATGTTTATCAAGATGGTTCTTAACAATGCCTTGTTTCCTGTCTTCTCCGATCTTGGCAACACAGCCACACATCGTTCGTGCACAAACGATGTCGTATCATGACCGATTTTGAGTACAATGTACCACATCACAATCGAGTTCTCACACCAGTGAGAATGCAGATAAATAGTCTCATTCCAGTTATTGTTACAAGAGGTCAACTTATCCTTCTGGGCTAGATAGAGGAACATGTTGGCGTTTTTCCTGATTTTAATTACGAGCCCCAATATTGAATGAGTAATAAGCTCAATTCGATTCTGCAGATTCAATAGACTGTGTGTTTCTCTATCTGAATTAGATTCTGGCGCTGAAAAAATCTAATTTTTAGCCATTTATTTATTTTTTCTCACCACCTCCTATGAAAGGATACGGAACTATGGCCTAAGCAAAATCAGGAACTTCGTAAGTCATAGTGTTATCATACAATAGATTATCAAATTTGTCTGAAATTTCGCGATTTTCACATTGAATTACACGGAATTTGACGAGACACTGAACCCCAAACTACATCGATTGCAGCTGTTAGGTTATTTTTTTTTGCCATTATAACCTTTTAGTCTTAATGGTTCGCTTCCTACTTCCATCACTCTTTTTCTAAAAAAAAAAGGAAAGGAGGAAAAACTTGCTATCGCTTTCAACCTAAAATTCAAACTTACGATTTGAATTTACGATCAAAAATCACCAGTTGTGTTGTTGCCGTTTTAATTTCTTTATTTCTTAAGCCTACATGTTTTTCATCTATGATTCCAGCCCAAAAATATTTTAACTTACATTTCACTTCCAAGAAGAATCCCAAATTGAGAACACAGATCTTCTCCGAGAACTGGTTTGCCGCTAGATTCTCTGGACTACCGGACGCGAACAGTATTCTGCCCCAAAGCAGAGAGCTGGACTTGATATTAACCACTGGCGCTTTCGCATTGTAAAAACAAGCATCACCTTCGTCACTCATGATGATAAATTGAACAAGTTCTAATCTTCAGCTCATTTCGCTCTCGAATAGCATTCTGATTTGCTAAGAACCAATGGTAGTTTGATTTGTTAAAGTGAGGTCATATTCAAGGTCTCTTAAAGAAACAGAGCAGAGAAGATCAGCCTATTTATGAAAGTAACTCGGATATCCGGCCTGTAATTTGATAGCCGAAAATTACCATGTTAATTTTAATAATACCGTTTAAAATTCATGAAGTTTGAGTTGGACTGAATTTTTATTAGAAAACGAGCAATAGCTCTTTTATCGCCTTGAACAATTACTCGGCGTATAACCAATTTACCTTTGAATCAAGAAAACAAACTGAATGGCTGGATTGAAGCTGCCAGTTTAGAAATCACAAATAGCGTTTTAAAGACCTCATTTTAAAAAGCTTGATTTTCAACTGCCTAAATACAACAAAAAAAGTTTCTCTAAATCAGTAAATGAACTTGAACGCTTGATTTTTTCACCCTCATCTTTAATCGAAATTCTACAAGTTATTTTCAGTAAATATTAGCAGGCCCACTGCAGCTAAAACTGCTCCTGCAAATGGACATTGTTTATGTTTAACAGAAAACTATGTTAGATGGATGGATGATTAGCTCGTTGTAAAGATGGTCAGATGGATGTATGAATTATACATACATCCATCGATCAATCCGGCCATCCTTACAACCAGGTAACCATAACCCTCCATCCATGGTGGCTGGACAAAAAGATGGATTGAAGGCAGGATCGATGGATAGCTGGATGGACGCATAGATGGCTGTCTAGATGGATGGCTACACTACTCGTTGGATGGATGGTTGGATAGATCGATAGCTTGAGTGATCCCTGGATCGAAGGATTACTGGTTGGATGTATCAATGACTTGATTAATTACTGGTTGGAATGATGGCAGCATTTAGCGAACTGATGACTGGTAGAATGGCTAGAGGTATTTATGCCTGGGTAGATGGCCGGCTGGATAACTACAAGGATAGATGGCTGATAGACTCGATGCATAAAGGGTGGGATGGAGGGACGGCTAAACGGCAAAATGGATTGATGACTTGTTAGAACGATTAATGATCGGAGAGATGGCTGATTGGCATCATTCGATGGCTAGATATCTGCTATATGACCGGTTGGCTGGATGCATGGGAGTATGGAGTTGGTGTAGACGGTCGCAAGGATAGATGGATGCATGGATGGCAGGAGATTTGGCTGGTTGGATGTATGACTGGTCGGATTAATGGATGGCTGGCTGGAGTAATTGATCGCTTGAGTGAGGGCTGAACTGATGAATGAATCGATGCTGGTTAGATGGAACACTGGTTGGTTGGATGGCTAGATAGTTGAAAAGATGGATGGCTGGTTAATGAATGAAGGAATTGGTGGATGGATAGCGTTATGGCTGCAATGTTGATGAATTTTTGGAAGGATGATAATTGAATTTCCGGCCATATGGATGGATGAATAGTTGGTTATCTGACTGTATGGATTCCTAGATGAATGGAAAGCTGGTTGAATAGCGGGATGGGTAGCTATTTCGACGAACTAATGGCAAAATATACAAATGGTTTGATAGATGGCTTGTTCGTTAAAAGGATGGCTAGATGGTTGGATAGTTTAAACGTTGGTTGGATGAATTGATACAAGGAATGGATCGATGAATGAATGTGTGATTTCAGGGATGGATAGTTGGATTAGTGGATGAATGGAATGCTACACTGATGGATTATTAGATGCATGATGGCTAGACTAGTGAAAGGATGGATGTATGGATGGCTGCACGGAAGGAGTGTTGAAGGGATGGATGGAGGGATGAATGGATGGCACAATGGCTAGTTGGATTGCTAGATGAATGGAAAGATACACGTATGAATAGACCGATGACTCTATGGATGGATAGCTGAAAACAAAGATGGATTATTGAATGGGTCGATGGCTGATTCGATGGATAGCTGGTTGGTTGGATAACTTGAACAATGGAGGATGGCTGGATCGAGGGTTGGATGAAAAGATAGAAGGATGACTTGGTGGATGGATGACTAGATGGATTGATTGCTTGATGAATGAATCGCTTTAAGAATAGATGGATGACTGGGTAGTTAGCTGGCTGGATGGCTAGATGGATTGCTACATGAACGGGACAATTTAAGCCTTATTGCTGGCTGGTTGGATGAAGGCTTGGTTAGATGAATCGCTTGATGAACAAACGGCTCGCTGAATGGACGGATGTCTCGTCGTATGGATGGCTAGAATGGATGATTGGACTGCTAGACAGAAGAAGAAAAACTAAACAAACACATTGAGAGGCAATATCTGTAACTCCTGTGAGTAACTTAACAACACTCCACTACAGGGTTGGAAACTTCAAATTTTGTGAAGTTTTTTAATAACTAAAATTTCATAAATTTTGAAAAAACAAATAAAATTTGTTATATCTCGTAAATTTAAAAAGATTTGGATATATATATTTGGAGGACAAAATTGCAAACCATGGAAAAACCCTGACAGCACCACACCATAGAATTGCTGGTTTCGAATTTGTTGGAAAAAACGCTGAAACGAAAAAACCCTCTACATTATGTATAGATGGATGAGTCCCATCTTTACACTACTGTTAACTGAGCAGCCCTCCTCCTCCCATGATGATTACATCATAGCTACAAATTTACATTCGGGACTGTCAATTGGCCTGGCATTCATGAACTCGAAAGTCGAAAAATATAGGCCGAAACCTATCAAGCCAAAAAAGACAAAACAAAAACAAACTTTAACAAATCGAGTTTATAAAATTACAACCAACTTATAAAACAAATTGTGAAAAGAAAAGTTATTTAAAACGCTAAAAAGCACCAAAAAATCTAGAGCCGTTAATACGTTGCTAAAAGAGGCTGCCTAGAAATGAGTCTAGCTGATCCCTAAGAACAATGCTATTTCCGGGAAAAAAGCCTAGCACCCGATTGCAACAACCTTGCTTATCGCAGGGGTAACAAATGCTTAAAAAATCAGCGAGATTTTCGCAAAACAAGAAACAAAAAACGAGCTGCAGAGCCAATTAAAAACATACTAGAGTTTAATGCACCTCCGGTGCTTCGAAATTTTTCGACAACTCATGAAAAACCGCATATATTGGAAACAACATCTGCAAACTTTTAGTGTACTCTGACTGCAACCAATTATAGGGTTGGTAATTTCGAATTTTTAAATTTTTTTAAATTCCCAGTTTAAAAGCGTCATCTCGAAAAGTTAATGGGCCTCTGCAGAAACCTAAGTTTCCCAAAAAAAAATTGAAAAAACGCCTTATTTCGGAAACTAAAAGAATTTGAGCATTCATACTAAGAGGCAAGATTTGAGACGCCAGGGTGTACGCTGACAATAAGGTTCTATTTTCGAGTTGGTGGTTTCAAATTTTTTGAATTTCTTTGTAGATAAGTTCACTGAGAAATTTTGAAAAAATCAAAAAACGTCACATATCGGAAACTTAAAGCATTTGAGCAGTCGCATTTGGCAAGATTTGCAACTCTTTAGAGTACCCTGACAACTACGAACTACAGCGTTGGGAATTTCAAATTTTGAAAAATAATTAATTTTAACTTTCTGAAAATTTTGAAAGAATCACAAAAAACGTCACATCTCGAAAACTACAAAGAATTGAGCAGTCATACTTAGAGGCAAGATTCGCAATCTTTGAGAGTACTCTGACAGGACCTCACTACAGGGTTGGGAAATTCAGATTTAAAAAAAATAATAATAATTTAAGTTTTCTGAAAATTTTTGAAAAAATCACAAAAAACATCGTATCTCGAAAACTACAAAGAATTGAGCAGTCATATTTGGAGAAAGATTCGCAATCTATGAGAGTACTCTGACAGGACCTAACTACAGGGTTGGGAATTTCAGATTTTGAAGAATAATATTAATTTAAGTTTTCTGAAAATGTAATCCCTTAGAGTACTCTGACAGTACCCAACTACAGGGTTGCGAAAGTGTTGTAATTTATTTTATTTGAAATTTCTGAAAATTTTTGAAAAAATCTCAAAAATTGTCTTATCTCGTTAACTTAAATGATTCGGGCATTCAAAATTGGAGGCCAAATTCGCAACCCCTAATTCGATATTAGGCTGCTTAATTTAAACTTGGTAAAATAACCACTAAAATCAAATTGAAAAATCGAAAACAAATTCTTAACCATTGCGATATACGATATAGCTTAAACATGCAAAAATATTACGTTGAAAAAGCTTAAACATGGCGAGATAGTGAAGCCTGCATTTAAATATAAAAGATTTTTGAAAAAATCTCAAAAATTGTCTTATCTCGTTAACTAAAATGATTCGGGCATTCAAAATTGGAGGCCAAATTCGCAACCCCTAATTCGATATTGGGCTGCTTAATTTAAATTCGGTAAAACAAACACTAAAATCAAATTGGAAAATCGAAAAAAAATTCTTAACCATTCCAATATACGATATAGCTTAAACATGTAAAAATAATACGTTGAAAAAGCTTAAGCATGGCGAGATAGTGAAGCCCGCATTCAAATATATAATAGATAGATAATAGATTAAACATAACATAATTTTTGAACCGTAGTCATATGTCACATTCAACACATGACTGTATGATAGATGGTTCAAAATTGTTGATGAGCGAAGCGAATTTGTTCTGATTATCGTCGCGTATGATTCTTTTTGCAGGAGTAGTTATTTTGCTCTCGAATTTTTAATATCTTGTTATGTTTATATTTTCGAATCTCAAAGAGTTAAATTGAATGTCATGAAACACCACTTCAGTTCCAAATGAAGAAATAATCACTCTCAATGAAATCCAGTTGAAAAATAAAAGCATTGGATCCGGTTTCCTAAAATTCAGCTAATTTTTGTTCCGACCACTGAAACTGGGGAGAAAATTTGTGTTCGGGTGTGTATTAATTATTTCTATTCTTTTCCACGCAAAATCAGGAACCACAAAAATCACCGGACTGGGTTGTGTGATATATCATATTAAAGCTCTTTCAGTCGTTATTCGAACCACATTTAACAATCAACAAACGTTTCCTCTAGAGTCGAGAAAAACCGGTTTGAAATATTTGATTTTCCGTCTATTTTCGAGCGAGTAAAGCGATCGAGTAACGTTCGTTATGTCTGAAAATTACCAGGTTACGCTAAATGATCATTTTACTTTAAAAAAATTAAAATTTTGGATACCTTATATAGCGCTTTTCTGGCAAAAAAATCGTTTGGAAATAATTCAAATTTTACTGCAAAAAATTGAAAAAAAAAAACAAAAAAATTTACACCTTTTTTGTTGAATTAATTTTTTGAAGACAATTGTAGACTTTTATGCCTAATTCGCTCATTTTTACGCTCTTGTATAGCTCTATCATCACACTAACTTAAAAACAAAAGAGACTAACTTAAAAGACACTTACTTCAAAAAACAAAATTTTAAGAATGTGGGCGGAACGGTCTGTGCTATTTGCACAGCAACCGGCTATCCTTGCTTACATTTGCGTTCAGCAAGCGCTATCAAATTAGGCAATCGACTTTTTTTTCCTTGAAAAACTTCTCAAACAGAAACACTTGCAAATGCGCGTAATGGTAATTGCACGTGTTGATAAGTTCACTCTCGTTGCTAAGGGTGTATATGAGCTAAGCAATCATTTCATCAAAAACGTGTTGTTTATTCAACAAACACCCCGGCACAAAATACTATGCTTTTTGGTAATACGCCCAGAAAACATCTTTTTCGGCGTAATTTAAACCAATCGCTCGTTTTAGCAGCCATACATGCAACGCGTAAAAAAATTTTCGTACACTTTTTTTTCATGGTATTTTAAATGATTCCTGACATCGGAGCCTTCTGTGCTACTTGCGCAGCAACCAGCTACAATATGTGATTATTAAGTTTTGATATCATGGTTTTTTTAATGCAATTGCGCTGACATCAAAACGTTTTATCAGCTGATATGCAACAAAAAACACTCATTTCGCTTGCTAGAAAATTAAGAGCAAGAAAATTTCATTGAAGAATTTGAATTAATATTTGAGATGACGCTTATTAGCTTTTAAAGCTAGTCCTGGTGAAATTATAGCTTTGAATAGCTTGTAAGACAAACAATCCTTGCTGTTCGAACAACTCATAAAATACTATTTTAAGTTTCCTTTAAAAAGTTGCCTCAAATTAATATTATACACTCGTGAAAACTGATTTTTAGAAGAAAAACAAACGACTAACCCATCATAAACGCTATACTAAATGCATAATTATATTCTACTTTCCAAGCAAGCTTTCTTATAATCAAAGACAAATCACTTATTTAGTTCTTCTGGCGCAATGCTTGCACCCTTTGTGATAATACCACCCGGGTATGTCTTCATGCTCCCACCCATAACAGCGTAGACAGGGCCTCCCTTTTGTATCTACCAAGTGAATTGCAACTCGATTACACGATCTACACTTGTGGTGTGGCAACTGAGTTCCGCCCGTGCAATGTTCGCCTTGCTCCATATATTGGGGACACCAAGTGACCTCTTCGACTTTTCTTGACCTTTCATTTCGCCAAATAGTTTGAATATGATGCTTTTCAACTTTGATTATATCTTCAATTACCTCAGATCGACTCATTCGTGAGTAATCAACGTTGCGGAAATAGAATCTTCGATTTTGAGCAGGTCGGTTTTGAAAATTTGAACTATGTCTAAAGTTGCTGTCACTATAGCTGCGATAACCATGATAACCTTGATTTGACCTGCCAATTTGCGAACTGTTGCTGCTTGAGTAATGGCGGTATCCACTCGACGTGAATGACCTTTCTCCGTATTTTGAAGACATCGGAATTATTAGTTTTTCTGCTGCTCTATGACGAAATAATGACAGCATATAAACACAGATCAATCTGCAAACACCATTAATATGTTATTTCGACGTATAGTTTAATGTACTTCTCGAGAAGAAGTTAGAATAGGTACAGTTTCGACGAAGCCAAGCATTTGAAGGTCGAACCGACTTAGATCGTATTGACAACTAGAGTAACCGGTCGCTGAGCAAGTAGCAAAAAGGGTTCCACCCTAGAATGATAGCAAAAAAAGGAAAATTTGTAGAAAAACAATAAAACGTTTCTCAAACTTATAAATAACAATTCATTTACTGTAAAAAAGAGAGAATAGGAGATCATCGTTCTTCACAAAAATTTTCTGAAACACCGTCAACTATTTTTGCCAAGATTTGAAAATTGTTCTCGAGAAACTACATTTTTAAAAATCTGAACCATAGACAACATATACTTGGAAAAATGCAAATGAACGCAAGGAAACAGGAAAAAAAGACTTTTTTGAAAATGCAAATTTC